GAAAGAAAGAAAGAAAGAAAGAAAGAAAGAAAGAAAGAAAGAAAGAATGGAAGGAAGGAAGGAAGGGAAGGAAGAAAGAAAGAAAAGACAGAAAAGTAAGTGAATGTTGAAGGATTATTCCTGTTTTGCCAAGTATTATATGTATAGTGATGCTACATAGGTAATCCTCGACTTGCAACAGTTCACTTAGTGACCGTTTAAAGTGACAATGGCAGTGAAAAAAGGGACTTACGACTGTGTTTCACACTTACAACCATTGCAGCATCCCCGTGGTCACGTGATCAAAATTGAGAGGCTTGGCAACTGGCATGTACTTATGACGGGGTGCAGAGTCCCAGAGGTCATGGGATTCCCCCTTTGGCAAAGCCAATGAGGGAAGCCAGATGCGTTGAACCACCGGGTGGCTGATCTTAACAGCCGCAGGGATTCATTTAACACGCAAGAAAAGACGTAAAACAGGGCAAAACTCACTTAACAAATACCATAGAAACGTTTTATGAGTTGACCGTCTGACTTAGCAGCAGAAATGCTGGGTTCAATTGGGGTTGTAAGTCCCGCAATTATCTAGTGTCCATTTTTTAGGGGAAAGAAAAACGAAAAGATTAACTTAGTGGCGGGATTTAAATTGTTTTATCGCTGGTTCAGTGGGCATGGCTTGGTGGGCGTGTTCTGCGCGGAGGCACGCACTTTGCACGCACGTGCACCAAATGCATGCTTTGCGCATGTGCAGGGGCTTTCCTACTGATCCTCTCCTGCAATCCTTCACCTCTCCCTGTGTGTTAAACAGCTGATGTGCGGCAATCTTCTGTGCCCATGAAGCAGCTAAGCCTCAAAAGCAGGAAATAATAGCCAATAGGGAGCCTAGGCGGGCAGGCAGGCCCAGCAGCTGATCGTTGGAGCAAACCAGTTCACTCCCAGTTGATCTTTCGAGCTACCGAACCGGGCCGAACCAGAATGCCATTGGATTAACTCTTCTTAATCTCACAACTATAAAAGCAGACACAAAGATCAGAACTCATACATCTGGGGCCCAGGGATCAGTGCCTATTCCAGGTTGGCCAAATTTGGAAACATGCAGGTGGCAGAACTGGGATTTTCCTGCCAGAAATCTTTGGCCCCGAATGAGAGATAACAGATAATCAGAGTTGGAAGAGACCTTGTAGGTCATCTAGTCCAAACGCCACCACCCCAAGTGGGAGACCCAACATCATTCCTGACAGAGGGCAGTCCAGTCTCTTCTTCAAAGTCCCAAGTGATGAGGCTCCCACAACTTCCGAGGGCAACTTCTCTTCCGTGGGTTGATTGTTCTCACTGTCAGAAAATTCCTCCTTATTTCCATAGTTGAATCTCTCCTTAATCAGTTTCCATCCATTCCATTTATATTGACTGCTTCCTAGTATGATTCGATTGCTTATTGTACCCTATGACTATTATTAAGTGTTGTACCTGATGATTCTTGACTCTTGACAAAATGTAATTTTTCTTATACGGACACTGAGAGCATTTGCACCAAGACAGATTCCTTGTGTGTCGAATCACACTAAAGAATTTTCTTATTCTTTCTTTCTTTCTTTCTTTCTTTCTTTCTTTCTTTCTTTCTTTC